TAGAAAATTTAGCGACTTATACTAAAATTTCAAGTTGAGCAAGTTATTTAGAGAGTTTCATTTTATTTACAGACGTTAAATTAATATTTTTGCAACTTTTCCAAGCCTTAAAACAGAATCAAAACTGTAAACTGTTTACCAATATTCGAAATCTGGAGGAGCTAATTTTCCATCGTAGGAAGGGAGTGGTGAAGCATCAAAAAGTGGAATGAATTTAGGAGCATCGGGAAATTTGTTTGGATCAATTTCAGTATTTCTCCCTGGATTGAGTGACTGTGTTGGAACTGTCGTTTTCCCGTGCAGCGAATCATCAGGATCGGTATCTTTAGTAAAACCTCCATATATAATTATTAATGTTTAGAGTTTATTTGATTTATATCATCACTATACCGAGTGCAGATGCTCGTTGTTGTTCTACTTGGTATTCAAGATACGCGGATGATTGAAAACTTGCCATTGTTTCCTTGGGAGTCTTGAATTGTTGCCACTCGTCGGATGTAACTATCAAGGGATCTCTTGTAGCATTGCTATTTTATTTCGGTACTTTAGTGCAAAATTTTCATTTGGATAACGAAATGGTAATTGGGGAGAATGAATGTGGACTCAAGACTAATTGTTGAAATTCGACCCAAGTGCTTTCTTCTAGACCAGTTATGCGTTAGTTCAAGCCGCTCAAAGTACGTATACGAGTGACGAGTTTATGAAAAGATCGAATAACATAAACCTAAATAAATTATTAAAGATGCCATCCCGAGCGGTGGAGGTGCATGAAAGACGATAATTAAGCGACCTGTCCTGTGCAGGAAAGCTGCGTTTTGAAGGTTTAAATCTGCGTAAATACTTAGTTTGTTGTGGGATACTACTCGATACTTTGTTAACTTTTAAGTTTAAGACATAAAATATCTTCTTATATTCATTTCTTTTGGCATGAAGCCCGTCAGCTGAACATGAGGTGCCGCTCTGTCGGAATTCGATGTTGACGCGCATCCACCAAGAGTTCCTAGTGCTATCTTGGTCCTTATGGAAGTAAATCGTTTGCTAAATGAAGTCCGCTAATATGTTACGTATAAGTTTACTAGGTTCTTGTTTTAAGTATCAGCGTCTATTAGCTTGTAAAAGCTTCTTTAAGCACTTTTTTTAGTGGTTTGCATGCTGCGCCCAACTTTACGTTTTGAGACTATAAATGTCGGTGATAAAGACTGGTTTTATTTTTTGCAGTTTCCTTTTATTGTGCGTACTATTATATTGCTCGGTATATAAAGTTGATTCGGCCTTCTAATTATGTACTAGAGGCGTTTTTTCTGACTAACCCTTCTTGGGCAACTCGATTTGAAGCAAGGCCTGCGACGACCGCGTATATAAGGATTGATTCATGAGCGTTTCATCAATTTAAATTATTCGCAAAAGATGAATGCTTCTCTGTTGTCACCACTCTTGCCGACAATATGTGCGCTTTCGTCGTTTCGAATCGAAAACTGTGCGTATTTGTATTTAATTTTGTTATTTAGTCTGTAGTTGAGCGACGTCCAAGCCTTGCTGGTTTTAAGGCTCGTAGTCAGAGTGCGATGAAGTCTGAGAGCGAAGTATTTGCGGCCGTCGTGTGTAATCCTCTATCTTCCGCAAGCTCGACTAGTCGCTACCCTCGAGCTTGTAGTCTTTGTAATATGCTATCCTAGCCAACCCCTTTTTTGCAGCAACTGGCGGCTTTCAGGTGGCTAGCTATAACTAATTGGACTAAGCCGACCACTGGCCACGAATTATTCCTCGCCCCTCATTGAGTTCACCTTCACCATGCCGCCGTCGTGGACTGAAAGCTCAGTAATTTACCACGTCTCTTTCCCCTCATACCTTCCACAAAGCCTCCATCGAATCAGTTAATGTACGGGCTTTTTCCTCCGCGTATCGGCATGCTTGTTCATAACTAGTTTTTGGTAGATAATATCTACGACAAGGAGGCTGATCAAGAAATGCCGAGTATTCCATTCAATGGAGAAAAAAATACAACCCGTTGACATATCGAAAAAACTGTAAAAGTCGCAGACTCGATGAACATTAATATTCAAAGTTTCTTGAAATTTCCTTCATCATAACTCTTTTAATACAAATTTTACATATTAATTGTTCCTGGTCGCCGCTTAAAAATAAATAGCTGGGTAAGCATGGAAAAATTCATATCTACATCTCATTTGCGAGTGGGGTAAAGTCCAGCCTAATTTGTGAAGAAACTCAAAGGGAAGACCCGAGCCTGTTCGAAGCCTCGCGGTTCTCAATCAGAGCCTTTTTAAGCTCACCCATATTAGGAAATCTCGAAAAAGTCTTCAATTTATTACTTATGATAATAATTGAAATTTATACTACGTATTAATACGTCTAGCACGAGATGATTGCTCCATATTGTACAATTATTTCGTTTTCTGTACTAATTTAAAACAGAGTTGCCAGCCGTTTTTTTTCGACAAATTTCGCGATTCAGTTTTTTTCAAATTGCGTTGTCCGGCAAAAATTTATGATAGGGGTACTTCCTAATTAAATTTAAAAAACTGCAAAAAATTGAATTTTTACTCAGGAGCTTACAAATATACTATTACTATTATACATTGAGTTTTAGGCCTTTCTTTGCCTTTTTAGTTCTCGGACTTGGCCGTTTTAGGCCATCTGGCAACCCTGAATTATGCACAACTACGTCCTGGAGAAATACATTTCGTAGTGCGCCTATGTACCACTTCGGAGTCAACGTGTTAACTGGAAAGAAGCTCTTTGGCACGTCAATTATTATAGCCTCATAAGGCTATAATATAATGAAAAATATTATAAAAATGCCAAAATAATTACTAGCATCGTTATGCGTTTTGGTAATGCACTGTACGGAAATGATGTTTAGGAAACGCCCCAACTCTAATAACGCCAAGACGTGTTGTTCACTCTTTAAGTTAAATTACTGTATGAGGGAACATCTATGACCTACAATTAGTGGATCAACAAATCAAGCTGCTAAGTAGGTTAAAATTTTAATATTTCAAGTGTAGCATCACGTTTGGTGACAAGTAGGTCAGGGCAGATAAGCTAGCGTCATGTTAATCTTTACGTAAGCCTTAATTATAATAAGAAGACGTCACGAGTACCGCACCGTACACTAGATTGCTTTCATTCCCATCAAATAGTAAATTTTACATTATTTATTTGATTTGTGTTCTGTTGTTGTTTTGTTATTGCTGTTGTTATTAATGAAAGAGGTATTATTTTATTTATGAGGTCTGCATTGAAATCAATTGAGAGTGAATTCATTCAAACAATAACTTATGAAGTAGTAATTTCTCAGCTAAAAAAATTTCACGATGTTAAAGTAATTTTAGTGAAAATTAGTACATTTAAACCTCACTGCAATATACGAAGAAAATTTTTTCGTTGACATAAATGACTACTTTTACTTTCGAAAGTACAGGTATTTATCCTGTACTAAATAACTAAATACATTGACAATTACGTAAACTGAAATTGAGCTCATGGGCCAGGGCTGATGATTCTGTAGTAACTCAAGTACTATCAATCGATAAGTATTTGTTGCTATACATAAATATATTTGTAGTATTTATTTATGACAATGTAATTCGACTAAAATGGATCCTATTATCTCGTGCTATCCAGGTGCGTCAAATCGAAAGCTTACAAATGTTCTCTCAAGTTATACTTGTGTTATGGTTGGAATGTTGAGTACGAAATGCCAGACTCCTGGCGAAAACATGAAATTAAACTTTCACGTACAGTCGAACCATCAAAAGCTGTCAATAATCTCGAAAATTTAAACAATCGAACTCATCCCAAATTCCTAAAAAATTTCCCCAGCCTTCGACAGGCAATGTTATAGTCTGCAGATGACCCCACAATCATTAAGGGTCTGTCTTGACCAGCTGGGCCTATACTTTCAAAAAAGTTAAGAGATCGTAAGTTCATCAGCCAATCATTGACTGCCTTTCAAGTAAAATCCACCAATCATAGACAAGAAAATAGAGCGTATATATAAGTACTTACGTTTACTTAGCGAGTTTTAAAAGTATGACCCCTGAGAATCCAACGAGTTTTTCGTACGAAAGTTCAACGTTTTTAAAATAAACCGAAGATCATTTTCTGCGCGTACCTAAGTAGGGTGCTTTTATTTTCCAGCAAAATATTGAAGGAAAATTTTTCCTTGCGATTTAGAAATAGAAATGTCTTTTTGGAAAGCTCTCATGACTGTTAAAAGCCCTAGTCAAGTTAACTGTTTACCCCAAACACTGAGTTTAACTCACTGGCATAGCCTGAAGTTCCACCTTGTATCCGCAAACAGTTAATGTCCTCATACTGATCAAATTTCAATGCTCTGGGTTTAGGCTTTGGGGCAGTGTTAGAAAATAGAGCTTTATTTAACCTACAGTAATTAAGTTAATCGCTATTTTAAGTTTAGGCTATAATTATTCCTGAGAGTATCAGGTTTGCATCCTTCCAGTTAATTGTTTTGCGCCTATTCTAATATTCGCACACTTATTACTAATGCATTTGAAAATATATTTACGAATTTATTCTTAAACCGTTCCTTAAGTTTGTGCTCAGAGAAAACTTTTATCATTTCAATCTGAATATATGTACGAAATCAAAGAAAACTTTCACCGAACGTATTTCATTCAACAATTATTTTTTTCGGGAAAGCTTGCAACGTTCATAATCACATTTCACCGATGTATTCGTGGAACGGGTGCTGATTGCTACGTAAATAGTTATAATTTATTTTACCTCACACTTTTTTTACACCGAAAACCAGGGCAAGCCACTTAAACTTGTCACCCTGCCCATCTCGATCGTAGATAAGGAGTCGGTACAGCCTATATAACCGGCGCTCAAGCAGCGCTTCTTCATTCGGCCGGTGGAGCTGACTTCGCAAGCATCTTCCAGCGCTTTAGGTCTTCAGTATTCAATTGAACATAAGATTAAAAGCATCAACAAAGTTCTTTTTCCTGAGAGCTTTAGGTTCAATTGTCATCGCGGCGTACGGCCTCGGCCTCTGAGTATAAAGGTGAGAACATTCTTAACTAAACGAAAATAAACTGTTCCGAATTTATCATTGAGTGCATAAAATGAATAAGTTCCTTGCTTAACAAATGCCATTAAAAATTTTTAAATAAAAGTAGGATACTTTCAAAAAAGAAATTTATGTGTTATGACGAGCTTTCTCATTTATTTAATTTCTTTCAATTTCTTAATCATCCTTCTCGTGTTTGAGCCTTGAAAGTCAATTTAACTCTTTCTAATAAAAAAAAATTCGTATATGATGAGAATTTGATACAAATATATGATAACTTTATACTATTAGAGCTCAAAGTTAGGTATAAAAAATATATCTTCATAGATCTGTTTTGAATTTGCATCTGCCACATGCCGAACAATATAAAAAGATATTAAATAGTTATGAAAAGTTACAGTATAAGAATTTCCGAACTAAATCGTACCTTTTATATATTGCATCGCTAAACCAGTTATGTACTTGGAATATTTGTAGCAAACAGTTTTCTACTTTTTTTTAAAACACTTGGCAAGAACAGTTTATGAGAAATCTGTGTCTCATCGTAACAGGATTCTGCCGTGACCTCACAAGACTAAAAAATGAGCACGTTAGCATGCCGTTTATCCGTCGTTAATTCCGGTTTGTTTAACAAATAATTGCTGAGTATTTGACTGGCGTCCAGATCGGTAAAGTTTAATATTGTATTCTTACCTGACTTTCAGATGGGAACATTCATGAGTCGCAAGACGCTTCTTCTCGGCTGTCAGAGCTTCATTCTCCTAAGCTTGCTGATCACTCAAATCGATGCTCAAACACTTCGGATTCGATTTTCCGAAATCCCTTTCTCAGTATTGGATAAAGCAACATTGGGAATCGATCCGATTTTGTCGGATCCGCTTGGCATGAGAGATCCAGGTATGAAGGATCAAATCTTTGAACCCCTCTTGGACGTGGCAGCACCAGGGGTCTACACGCTGAACGATTTCATTGGAAAAGCGGTTCAAGATGTCCGCTGTAGTCGTGCAACTTCTGAATCCACGAAAACAGCGAGCAATTACAACGCTTATAGGGAGTTGACAAACTCACGAGTTTCTTTCAACGTTGGAGCGGATGTTTCTTTCGGAAAGTTTAGAAGATTCAGCATCAAAGCGGGGATGGGTTACCAGCAATTGAAAGACGATGAAGAAAGCAAACGACTCGAGTTTTTCAAGGAAACTGCAGGTGAGATCATACAGGGAGGAGCTCAGTGTCAGACTCATGTTGTCTCGGTTAACATGCACACCACGCCAGTCTTCACAAAAAATTTCTTGAGTGCATTGCAGAAGTTGAACGTAGCAGCGCAAGACGCGTCATCTGAAGACAGCAGGAAAATATTCAACAATTTCGTTGAGAATTTCGGTACACATTATCAGGATTCGACGTACTTTGGGTCGACATTTGTATATGAAAAATTGTTCGCCAGCAGAACAATGAGCGAAGCTCAAAGTACAGCTAGGAAAAACTGCGTTTCCAATTCTTTCTCACAAAACTTGAAAATGAAAGTCCCTTTTATTGAAGTAAATCAAAATTTCAAACAAGATGTCGCTAAGTGTGCTGGTTCTCAAAATGAAGAGGGACTTTTCAACTCTCTGAAGCTGGCTTCTGAAAGAATCCTGACAGTTGGAACTCCACCGTACTCTGATCCAGATGAGTGGGCAAAAATGGCATTAAAAAATCCTGTGCCAATCGAGTACAAACTCGAAAAAATTTCTACCTTGTTTCTTCAAGACTGGTTTGATAACTTACCATTAAATCTGAAATCAGGAGCTGAGTCCACAGAAACTTTCAATGGCACCGCAATGCATGAATTTTTCGAGTCGCTCTCATCGGAATATTGCGAAATAATGCTTGGTGTTCCCTGCAACGAGACGTGGACTGGCTGCGGTTACAACAGCAATTGCTCGACGCACGAGAAATGCTTCAACGACAACAGCACTCTTGGTTTTTCGTGTAAAAAAGGATGTGGATACACGAGCAGATGTTCGAAGTACGAGAAATGCTTCAACGACAACAGCACTCTCGGCTTTTCATGCAAGAAAGGATGTGAATACACGAGCAACTGTTCGGCAAGGGAGAAATGCGTCAACAACAACAGCGTTTTGGGCTTCTCATGCAAGAAAGGGTGCGGATACACGAGTAACTGTTCAGCAAGGGAGAAATGTGTTAACAACAACAGCGATTTGGGCTTTTCGTGCAAGAAAGGTTGCGGATACACCAGCAACTGTTCAGCAAAAGAGAAATGTGTTAACGACAACAGCTATTTGGGATTTTCGTGCAAGAAAGGGTGCGGATACACTAGCAACTGTTCGTCGCGGGAGGCCTGCGTCAACGACAACAGCGATCGAGGCTACTCGTGCCGGAGACGAAGATCTCCGGCACTCGTGCCGTTTCTTTTGTTTGGTTAAGAAGGTTTTTTATTAACGAAAAGAGCGCTGGTTAGTGTCCTGCGAGCAGCCATGCATGGTCTTTAGCTAGAATTTGTGCGATTTGCGAGCAGTGTTACTCCGAACTACACCGCTCTGAGAGGTACATCTGCGTTTCGACCTCACTAGAAAATCATTTTTCTTGCCTTCATCAAACATTTATCTCTTGAATACCTAATCTGTCGATACTATATTAGCTTTTCTACTCCCCATTGGGATTGTAATTGACGTAAATATGAGAACAGATGAGTCAAACCTAATCAATCTGAGTCTCTTCTATTTAGTCTAATTCCAGAAAATGTACGAAATATTACTGAAACAAAATTTGTGACAATCCTATTAACAAATCTACTAGAAAGTATTTTTTTTTTGTTTTGTAAATTTTTCCCGTTTCTTTTGCGCTAAGTTGTATGGATATTCACAAATCTTTTCTAGTATTATATTACATTTTAATTATAGTAGTAACAACTTGACTCATTCTTTTAGTGTTCTTCTATATCGATTCCACTTGGGTAATTACCGGCTTCGCATCATCAACGGTAATTTATCTAATTAAAATTTGTTCATATCAAATTTGTATTACGTCCATCTCAGTATGAATATCAAGTTGATGTATGAATATTTTTTAGCGAAAACTTAGGTAATTGTCATTCTTCTACTTGTTGAAAGTCAATGTTTGCCTTTTATAAACACAGAGTTTTGATTACTGCTTATGATTTCGACTGCACGTTGATTATTTTTTAATTAAATGTCTGTTTATACACGAATATACTCGCTTCAATTAGGCCGGTATATTATGGAGTCAATTAGGAGTACGGTAGAAGATGTGATGATCAAGAAGTTTTTACTGCACGAAATCAAATATCTCGAAGTGTACTCTAGAAGAAATGTTATTTATACCAAGATTGCACGACAGCGGTAAAACTCATAATCAATCAAAGCACTAAGATAGGGATTGATCATTTATTTATAAAAATATAAAACCCGCAGTGTTATGTAAAAAAATTGTCTATTTTATATTACCACTCTGATATTGCGTTTGGATTGTAAATATTTTGTTCAGGAGATTTTGTCATAATATTTAATGATATTTTTTTTAAGTCTGGCCCTGTGATTGCCTATATGTTTCTCCTTTCAAGTCTGTTATGAAGTTTAATGCAAAGTTCCACTACTCTCTGTGAGACCACAAAGATTAAGTAAGACCGGCTCTGATGTGGACGTTGAATTGGTTACAGCTGTTATATAGATACGATGCCGATCCCGACTTGCATACTGGTTCCTTTCTTATAGAATTTTGACTCAGAAGCCAGGATGAGTTGCGTGTGATAGTGGTGAAATTTAGATATGATTACTTGCTGAAATATCGTGATTTGTGAGATTATATTGATTTGTTATTTGTAGGTATTTACTTTTGGTTTCTGTTGTAGGATCGTGCGTTATTTTCAGATCTCCATGCTCTATCTCTCTCCTCGCATTTTGCTCTCCTCGCACTTTAGCTTCCTCCGCATCAATGTTTTAGTTCGCTTATTTCATATGCCGCACCTCTGTAAAATCGTTAGTTGTGATTTGCTTCGTTTTAATTTGTCGTTTATTTCTAATAAATTTGAGAAAGCTTGTTTGAGTTATCTATCCGCTCGGTCCAAACTTTTGCTTATCAGGCCAATAGGGAAGTTGCATTTAATTTCCGGTCATTGGTGGTCGTGGCAATTAGACCATCCGAACTTTTGAGGTGGCGCGATTGGCTGTTCGGGGATTCAAGATCAGTTCGTCACAAAGTCATTTTTCTATCCGCAACCCAATAAAGTTGCCCGAGTTTGCTTGAACTTCTTGAGTTACCCTCTCATATCTAAAACGCATAGAGAATTTAGCAAAATACACAAAAATTTCAAGTTGAGCAAGTTATTTAGAGAGTTTCATGCTATTTACAGACGTTGAATAAATATTTTCGCAACTTTTCCAAGCATTAAAATAGAATCCAAACTGTAAACTGTTTACCAAGATTCGAAATCTGGAGGAGCTAATTTTCCATCGTAGGAAGGGAGCGGTGAAGCATCAAAAAGTGGAATGAATTTAGGAGCATCAGGAAATTTGTTTGGATCAATTTCAGTATTTCTTCCTGGATTGAGTGACTGTGTTGGAACTGTCGTTTTCCCGTGCAGCGAATCATCAGGATCGGTATCTTTAGTAAAACCTCCAGAAGTTATTTTGTTCTCATCTACCCCTGGGAACATGATTGGTTGATCAGTTTTTGTCACGTTAACATCTCTCGGCCCAGGGTTCGCTACATTATTGTTAGTTGTCTCCCTGGATTGAGTGACTGTGTTGGAACTGTCGTTTTCCCGTGCAGCGAATCATCAGGATCGGTATCTTTAGTAAAACCTCCATAAATTATTTGGTTCTCATCTCCCCCTGGAAACATGATCGGTTGGTCAGTTTTTGTCACGTTAACATCTTTTGGCCCAGGGTTCGCTACATTATTGTTAGTTGAGTTGCGTGCCGGCGATTCAACTTTGACATCAGTTGCTCCGGTGCTAGGGCCTGAGGAGCTCGAGCCATTGAATGAACTAGCATTATCTTTGCCGTTATCGTATGACCCATTACCCTGGCCACCGAATGAACCATTACCCTGGCCTCCGTGTGGCCCATTATTCTGGCCAGCGTATGGCCCATTATCCTGGCCACCGAATGAAACATGATCCTGGCCGTCGTATGGCCCAGTATTCTGGCCACCGAATGAACCATTATCCTGGCCATCGTATGGCCCATTATCCTGGCCACCGTATGTCCCATTATCTTGGCCATAGTAAGAATCAGCCACAAACCCCGACGTCGGGTCCACATAGTAGGAGACCCTCACAACGCGGCCGTCGGGCATGAAGACGTAGTAGCTGCCGCGCACGATGTCCCCGGAGCGGCGCTCCTCTTGGCCGTACCTGCTGCCCTCCTCGGCGCCCGACGACGACCACGCAAACGTCGCGTCTGTCTGAGGGAAGGGCATTGGTGTGAGGGAAATTAATTCAATGAAATTTGAGATGAATGATGTAGCTAATATATTAAATTCTAATTTTATTTATAGTGATTATTAACATGGAATGTAAGTATTAGAGTTTACGAGTAGAATGTAGAGGTGATAGAGATGATTATAGATTTTACAAAAAAAGCAGTATAACTTGAAACATAGTGAAGTTAGTTCACTAACTCTCAACATTTACCTCTGCGTCAACTTTCCAAATAAATAGGTCAGCATAAAGATGTTCTAGTAAATAAGATTTAAGTTGCATGTCATAAAATTAATATTTATGTTCATTAGTTCATATGTTCTTCGTCGAGATTTACCTGAACACTTTCATGAGCTTCAAGTTTCACAGAATCATTACTAGATTTCAGTATTCCCGACGCCTGCTTTTTTCCTTGAGATGAAATTTGCGTTACTGAAAATGTTTCAGGGAAATTCAGAGGCTTCTGCTCCGACGGAGATCTCACCCGCCTGATTCCGCCCCGTATAATCGGAGTCTCTGAAGAGCTTTCAGGGAGCCCCGGAGGCTTCAACTCAGACAGAGATCGTTTCAGTCTGTGCAGCTCTGAAATTCTGTGGTCCGCCATCTGACAACCTAGCGGTGTGGGCTGAATGTGCTCATGATATCTGCTGTGGAACTGGAACTTTTCAGGCAAGAACCGTCCTAATTTTCGATTATTGCTACTGACAGGGAACGATGCTGCATTCAAAATGCCATTTAAAGTAAGTGAAATTATTAGGGATAAATAGTGTGCTAAATTCATCTTCTGTTGAAAAATGGCGAAGGTTATTTCAAGTTCATATATATTTATCTGTTGAAAATTTTATTCAGGGTCTCAACTTTAGTTTGAACGGTACGAATAGACAACTTTGGGTATATGTGAAACAAGCAAATTTTCAATGCATATTCTGTTGCGCAATAACATTTTTTCTACATAAGTAAGTCAACCATCATTGCTAGCAGCCCTGTATTGATTATATTATTCGTGGTATAATAGTTGATCACTTTTATTATTACCTGAGTTAACTAAATGGATGTAATTTAAAATATTTTTAACCCGATTTTGGTTTTTCTCATTTATATCCTGATGGTTAATAAGTTAGTACAGAACATCAAAATTAATCGGCAAAATTTGATTAATGTTATTTTATAATTTGAGCAAAGATCATAAGCAATCATGCGTAAAAAATCATTCTTATTATGTCGATAATTGCAGAAATTAAAACGGTCCCTGACATCTAAGTAAATTTGACGTGATATTCACAAATGATCTTCCTTGTGTCCACAGATAAAAAGATCATTTTATACATCATAACTGATAATTAATCTATGATTCTTCTGAAGTTAAGCCAAAAAGACACATTATACGTGTTTTGTGAGTCCATCCGGACTAGCAAAAGACACCTGAAGTTTGAAAATAAACGTATTCTACGAAAAACGTGGCAGAATTTTCTCATTGTAATCATAAACCACATGTACGAATAAATTAGCTCTTTGATCCGTATATTCTCCGCACATACCAACAAATATCTTCTCTCAAATATTTGCTGAGGGATTTTAAGTCTTATACACCGTAAGTAAATCAGGTCTATATAGGGAAATTTCACACTCGAGATAGAGACAGCAGGCACCCTCATCCACCTGCCATCCGCAGCCCCGCAACTCCAACACTGGACGCATCCCCGCAGCCCGGGGCTTTAATCCTACACAATAGCTTCCTTTTTTGCGGAACTCAAGGCTGTGGCTGTATTGTGTCCTGCTTCCGGTCCGGCTGCACTTCCGGTCCATCTTGTTAGCCTCTACCTAGAATAACTTTTGTTGAAAAAGTTCCGTGAATTGATGATTAATGCGAAGATAATTCATTTGTGAATGGTTAAACAACAAAATTTGAGTATAAATAATTTTTGTAATATTGTAGAGGAGAGAAATGCAACTTTTATAGATGTCTTTTACATTGATAATTTTCTTATAAAATGGCTTTAGACTTCCGTGCGATGTTGCCGGATCCGCTCTGTAATGCGGATTAGTAGTAGCTCTATATAGAATCACTCGATCTGCGCCACCATATGGGACAGGTGTGTACTGTGCACGGGATAATTTAATATACAATTGTGTGCTTCATTTTGACCTGGAATAGATTAGTGGGATCTGTATAGCTATAGGTGTGAAAATGTCTTCTTGGTTCATATGATAAAGTTTTAGGCATGACCCATCGTGTATGTTTAGTGTCTGTAATAGTTTTATCTCATACAGAGAGACCTCCAAATCGTGATCCGAAGTTTAGACTTCGCTTCAACTCACAAACGCTCTGTTTATCTTGTCATTGTTGAATGAAAGTTTTGCATTTGATTGTCCTTATTCTCCTGTCGGTTAGTGTGCTGATGTGCAAGAAGTGTGACGAGCAGTGGTTGGGTTATTGCGGATAGGATAAAGTCTCACGTTGCGCCCAGTTGGTATACTGGCCCCGTAACATATGGTGCCGTGAACACTTCTTGCCAGTCATTTTGTTTGCTATTGCAGTTCATAGGTAGACGACATGGATTTGAAGTATTGACAAGTGTTCTTGAGTTCTTGGATGTCTTTGGTGAATGTGTGGTTACTTCACTGGAGTCGATAGAGTTTACGCCTCTGCGGCAATTGTTCCAACGTCATCGAATGATCGGAGGTCTCTCTGGTTTCTGTGTGGTGGGCAATTTCATACGTGACTCGGAGTGATCGTTTACTGCTTGACTTTGTAAAACTGTTTTCTGAAAAACTAATAAAATGGCTATGTGTAGTAATAGTGCGGCTGAGGCTGTACCTGTTTTAGATAAGGAAGATAGAGTTTTGCATGACAACTTGGATTATTTAGAGAAATTTTTAGACAGAGTAAATCATAATGATTTTAGAACTTTGTCTCCTAGGTCTAAGATAAGGTTGCGCGATTTTAAAGCAAAAGTTATTAGGTTTGATCCTCATACACTAGATGGGAAATCTGACTCGGAGGCATTAACAAAAGAGGCTTTTGCTAAAGATATGAGTAGAACGGGTGCAATACCCAAAACTAGGAGTATTTTGCGCGCCGCAGATATGCAGGAGGAGGTAGAAAGTCCATCAGATGTTTCGTCAGTAATAGAAACGTCTAGGAGTGATGAGACATCAGACTCGGAGTTTACTGACAGTTCTAGTGGAGGGAAACGTACGGTCGGAAAGATGAAAAAGTTTAGAAGATTGGGAAAGGGCAAGAAAGTAGATATGGACGTTTTGATCAAGAATTTGGAAAAACTAGATAGCAGAAAGATGCCCACAATGTCGAAGTTTGATTTCGATGGCAGCTTAGGCCTGAAAAGTTTCTTGCGGAAATTTGAATGCTACTGTGAAAACACTTTTAGAGGGGAAAAATATCTGTGGATTGAGGAGTTAGAGAGACTCCTCGAAGGAGAAACCCTGATGGCTCTCAGGAATTTTAAAGAACTTGGAGTGGGTTACCGGGAAATTAAGCAGAAATTATTGAGTTGGTATGAAGACACAAAGGACATTAGAAAGGAGAAGAATAGAAAGAGGTTACATCAGATTAAGTTAGAGCGCGATGAGTCATTATTCTTATTTAGCAGCCGTATAGAGGGAGTTTATCGAGTTGCTTACCCTAAACACGAGGTTAACACAAGCAAGATTTTGAGGGAGAAATTCGTGAGCTCGTTGCCAAAAGATGCGCGTCTTGCTTGGTCTTCTCAAGTCATGGCCAGTAGAATGAATGGGTCTAAAGTAACTTGGAATAGTGTACAAAAGTTCGCGAGGGCTTATGACAAAGAAATAGAGTATCGGAGTAGAGGGAAAGAAAGCGGTTCGAACGAAATTTTCATTCAGGTGGGCAAAACTGACCCTCGTTCGTCTCGCGATATAGCGCCATCACAAGTACCATTTGGCATGAGATGAAATGGTAATCCGGTAGAGGGGAGAGGCCAATTAGATGAACCCAATGTTCCGAGACGTTGTGCAGGTTTTCAGGATGCCAATTACATAGAGAATGTTCAGTACCGTAGCCAAGGACGAATGTTAGAGCATGCTAGGAAGTCAACGATGCCGGATGCATGCCAATTATAGAAACCTGTCTGTCGTCATTGTAATAGACCAGGACATATCATACTAGACTGTAGGTCCAGGCTAAAAGCGTGTTATGCATGCGGGGATACGGGCAATTTCTTCAGAGATTGTCCTCGTAAGATTGGTATTCGTAGGAGGCAAATAGGTCGTGACAGCACAAACGTTAACGATCGCCATTGGCAGGGCTCTCCCGGAAATTCGATTAGGAGAGAAGCTGTTGGAAATTATTCAGTACGCAGATTCGGTGGGGGTAATTACAAAGAAGGAAATTCACGAGACCGGAATTACCGGTTAAGGGTTGATTCTAATCCGAAAGGGAATTTAAACTAGAGGCCTCTGTCCATGACGGGGTCCGGTCAGAGAGCATGCGTAAATCCCCACCTCACCAACACATAGGAGTCTCGGTTCATACAAGTAACCGGTACGCAGCATTGAATGATGAGCTAAATGATTTTGAGAACAACGATGGTCAGGAAGGTAAATCAAGTTGCGATAGCAATAAGGATGTTGGTAGTAGCAATAAGGATGTTGGTAGTAGCAATAAGGATGTCGGTAGTAGCAGCAAGAATGGAGGTAGTAGCAGCAAGAATGTTGGTAGTAAAAGCAGGAATAGTGATGATGAACTAACTACACTAGAAGATGAAATGCCAATAATGCAGTGCGGCTTGTTGCAGCCAGCTAAGTTACTGTATGTAAAAGTTCTTGTGCAGGGAAAATCATTTAGAGCACTTATAGACTCAGGTTCATCTAACAACCTCATGAAGAAGCGCACGTTTGAAAAGATCGGTTTGTCAGCATTACGCGTCAGTGACGTGGTAATTCAAGGCTTAGGAACGGCAAGAATTGAAGCTTTAGGATGTTTGGACGTTACTGTCCATATACCTGATATGATAAGCTCTGTCGCTACGTTTGATGTGGTTCCTGATAACAAAATGTGTTGGGACTTGGTTTTGGGCGTGAATTTTATGCAGAGAAATAAGCTCATTGTAGATATGATGTTGAGGAAGCTCTCGATTATTGGGGCAGATACAGTGTCCAGAACAGATTTTTATATAAAAGACGAGAAAGTTTTTACTATAGTCTATGAAAATATTCCCGTATACGTTGCCGAGTCAGCGGTTATTGCTAGTGGAGAGGCTAATTTGGTTTCGGTAGCTCTCGATGTGGTAAAGGATAAAAAGGAAATGGTTGATGAACATTTTTTCTTTGATGGCTGCAAGGCAAATGTTAAGTCATTGGGAGTCGATGGAGTGATTTCGTCACGGCAGGATAATCCAAGAGTTATGGTTGCTAATAAAAGTGTAGGAGGTAACGCTAAGAAAATTAAGGCTGGTGAAAAACTAGGCAGAGCCAGCACTATGGTAGTGGTATAGATATGGAAGACGAGGTAGAGGAACCGAGTGAACGCAATTTTGTAGATGCAGTAATGATTGGAGAACAAAATTCAGAGTTAGAAGGAGCAGATTAGAAATTTAGTTTTAGCTCACAAGGAAGCCTTTGGTAGAAGTGAATATGAGATAGGAACAGCGAAAGTAAAGCCTCACAAAATAGAATTAACTGATTATACCCCAATTTGGAGGGAAGCCACGTAGATTTGCGGACCCGGTTAACCTAGAAATAGGGAAGCAGTGCGATGAATTATTA